TCCACTATATAAATGTACCATAGCTTCTTTGTGTATATCTTACTTTTCAAGTACTTCAGCATCTACACTCAAAAAATTATCCAATGACTAATATCCTTTTAAAACATTGCTATAGAAATAAAAGTCCTTGGAAATAAAAATGACATAAAACACATACCAACTGGAAGACTATACTTTAAGAGACGGTTAAAAAAAATAAGAGACAGTGGCTGTTTAAGTGTAAAGGCTCTAAAGTCAAACTTCCTGGTTTTGATTCTAGCTCAATAATTTACAAAATACAAAAATTTTAGCAAAGTTTCTCTGTGCCTCAGTTTTCTCATTTCTCAAATGGAAATAATAGCTACTTCATTGGACTCCTGTGATTAAATATGACAATGAATAAAAAGAATAGCTGACATATGGTAACAACTCAATAAATATTAGCTATCAAATTTATTGTTCTACTCCTAGTTTACACTGCCATAGGTTCCCACTATTACTTTTTCTCAGTCCTCCTATTATTTATAATATTCCCTTTTATGACTAGTTACATATTCATTTTAAATTATCACAATAAAAATTAAATTTAGGTGTTCCTAACATTATATATTTCAGTGATATGGTTTTTAATCAAAAGCATAGCTTTTGATTTAGATATAACAAAGTTCTCTGATTTGTATTATACTTTTTTTAACTTGATGGATCAAACCTCTTAAAGATAACTGAATTTGGATTTGCAAGAATCTAAAGCAATTCCTACTAATATTTCTCCTTCACTTCAAAATTAAATTCAAAACAAAATTAATGTTAAATTTCATAAGGCTCTGAAAAATCCAACAGAGTACAACAAGAACAATTACCATAAATATGACTTATAATCACTTGGACTTTCTGTGTAGTTTATCACATTCTTGATTATCATGTTGCATAACTGTGTGTATGGGTTCGGTTCACAAGATCAACTGTTTGGGGTCAAATATTTGATGCCCTTTCGTATTTGAAATGCTTCCACCAAAGATACATAAAACAATGGTAACTATACCTACCTCTGGGAGAGGATAAGGGAGAAGGGTAAGAAAGAGACATATTTTGCACTTAAAACCTTTGGCATTTTTGGGGTTCCTTCCCTTGTATATGCATTCACTTTCTAGGAACATAAAATATTTTTTAAAGAAAAAAATTCCATTAACTAATAATTTACAGAACAATTTTTTAATGTCTCATAGTTTACCACAATGGCAGCTTACCAGATTGAAGATGCCAGTAATATGTTAGTGTTGTTTGCAAGAAACCTCAATGGAGGTTCTGCAAGCAGTATACAGGATAAAATTCCTCCACCAAAGCAGTGGAGCATAGCAGTAAACCAGCTTGACAGAGGATTCTTCCGTGCCATCGCTGCTGCTCCTGAAATGATAAAGTAAAAACGTGGTCTGAGATACTGTATATTAAACAAGTCCTGAC